ATTACATACACTTCTACATATTTTTTTCTTCTTTTTTCATTTATAGTTCTTCATCCCCCCGGCAGCATTGTTATTTTTTATACCATGTTCAAATGTTCAATAAAGGTTTATTTAAAAAATAAATAAATAAACGGTCACTGGTTTGGCAGCAATGAATTGTGGGTAATACACTTCACCAAAGTCCGTAAAAATGCAGACTTTGCGGAAGTGCGGAAACACCCAAAATGGGCGGGGCGAAGGGTGGATGTGGAGAATGTGGGACACTACGCACTCAAACCCTTCAACGTGAACACACATTTGAAGTGCACAAGAGAATGAGGGTGGGAGTGGGAGTACTGGGACAGGGTCTAAGTCTGGACAACATGCAGCAGCAAACATGTATCAAATATAATTCTTAAGTTGGTTTTGTATTTTCTGAAGCACAGCTGAATTTCACTGGGGGGGGCTTTTACAAACATGTTTTCTGCCAAAGCATAGTTCATAGTTTCAACTCTATTTTGTCCGCCTCATCCAGGATCAGAACAGAACAAGCGATCAGGTTGAGATTATTATTTGAAGATGAAGAGAACTTCCAGTTTGGACCCTCAGAGACACAGGCGGTACCTGGTGGTTCCACGTGGTCCAGCCCTGCACATGTAGGGAGGTGTTTCAGCTGCGCGGCTCATGGAGCCGGCCAGGTTTAGGTTTGCAGGAGACTGTGAACTCTCTGCAGCTGCGACTGGGTCAGAATGAGGCGATGGACCTGCTCCTGACCGCGGGGACACGGCATCATGACCCGACCCACCAGCACCGTGTCGACATGCTTCTCCTGGTTCGCCTGAACACAGAAACATGAGATGATTCAGCGTGACGACTTCTAATCACGACTGCTGGACCAAGAAATACCATTATTACTGATAGCTTAAAGCCAAAACATTTGGTTGAAAGTTTGCTACACAGTTTTTTGTTTTTTACACGTAAAACTGTTCCAAAGCTTTCTGTGTAAAAAATAAAAAATAAAATAAAAAGTAAAAAACAGTTCCCGAGCTTTGAATAAATGTGCAGCAGAGTTCCCACCTTAACAAACGAGGCTGAAGGAAACGTTGCAAAGTCAGATGAGACTCGAGCTCCGGGCTGCAGGTTGACCACATGCTCTGCAACTTCCCCCTGACAGAAACAGGAGGAAGAAGGAAACCCCTCACACCTGTGGCTTTATGCTTTACAACCGGGCTTTTCAACTGRCGGCCCGCGGGCCACATCCAGCCCGCGAGTGACCAAAGTTCGGCCGCCAATTGGTTCATTCATCTCTTCAGCCCAAACCTCAGTTTTCTACTTTAATTACTATAAGTTCTTTTAGTTAAACATAGACATGTCTGGTGTCTACAGAAACATCAGAATCTTGGCTAGAATACATAAAACTATGAAAGTGAAAATAAAATTGTTTTAAAAATTTGGCAAGTCAGAGATGTCAAAATAATATTTGTGTTAAATAAGAGGCATAATGTGTTAATTTTGTTTTGAATATTGTTTAATTATCACTACTTTTATTACATAGGGTTCTATATGTTGTATCCATGAATAAATTCAGCAAAATAAACTATTTCAAAGGTAACAGATCTTTGTAATACTTGTTTATTAACATAATAACTTTAATAGCTGGATGTTCGGCCCCTCACCTGCAGTAACTGTTGAACAGCCCTGCTTTACAACCTGTGCAGTTTTAAGTATTTGTACCTTCAGTTTATCAAGCGTCTCTCTCAGGGACTGAAGTCGAGCCGTCTGTTCCAGAAGCTGAGCACCAGGTGTAACTGCAACACAAAGCATCATAAAACACAGTACAGATGTGAGAAGCAGCTTGTTTAGCACAGATGATAATTATTATTCATGAGATGATTGGTCATTAGTTCTAAAATTACAACCAAGTGTTAATGTTGCAGCTTTATTTTGAACTATCTGCAGTTTGTCCAGATCCTTTTTGAAGCATCAAACCAAACAGCGTTTTGTGTCAAGGGGACACAAAACTATAGACAATTCAAGATGGCTGCCACTGCTAAATGCTAACTGACATTACTTATACAATTCTTCTTTGATCAAAAACAGAGAGCACAATGCTCTCACTCACCTGGGGATTTCCCTGTGATGTCCACCACCTTACTGTTGGCGCTCATCTGCAGCAGAGTCTCCAGGAGCTGGTCGGTCTTGCGGTAGAGGGCGCTAGAGAGGACTTCAGGACGTTTTTCCTTGGAAGGTAGTTTGGTCACATGAAGAGGAGGCAGAGAGGCCAGCTGAGCGTGCATCTTCTCTGTCTGCCAGAAGAAACCAACACAACATTGTGACAGTGAATCAAAGCTGGACGATGGAGAGAAACCCATTATTCCTCAGAGAGGAAGTCCCTGCTGAGCTGCTYGTTTCCTTCTGGTCCTCACCTTCAGCTTGTTGTTTTCGTTCTTCAAGTGCTTGATGCAGAGTCTCTGAGCTTGGATCTGCTGAGTCAGCAGAGGAGAGTCGATCACCTGAGCTCCGGACCCCGAGCAGACTCCAGAAATCACGCTGGCTGTGGGCGAGACCCGGCAGACCTGGTCAGCACCCGACTGGGTTTATCCAGACTTCAAACAGCAAACTGACAGATCTGACCAACACAGCCACGACTTGATACGCATGCCTTCAATAAATGCCAGGCCTTTAAATAAACATGCATCTGATGTGTCACTTTCATCAGCTCATGCAGCACTGAACATCCTGTCCTGCAGTCAGAAGCATGCAGTCACAACAGGAACAACACCAGCAGACAGATACCTTTCTGCTCCTCTGAACAACACAGATGTGAATAAAAAGATTGAAAAATAAAAGTTAGACAGAAGAAAATATAACTAGTCTGGATATAAAAAAACATTAATTAAAAAACATTTAGAAAACAACAACAGGGACAGGGATTACAGGGGTCCCATTCTGGAGCTGGGCCTGGGGGAGGGGCTTGTTGTCTACCCAGGGGTCCCAGTCGGGCTTCGCTCAAATGAACAACATGAACTGGTCTTCCTGTGGGCCCACAGGAGGGACCATACGGGTCGGCTGCAGGGAGAGCTTGGCGCCTGTATGAGTTTTCCCAGTGTTGTACACAAAGTACCACAAAGTGATAGTAAAAGTACAAGTATCTTCCCGAAAAATTATTTTGGTAAAAGTTAAAGTCTCCTTTAGGAATATTACTTGAGTAAAAGTCTGAAAGTATCTGATATTTTATTTAAGTATTAATGAGCAGTTAGGTTTTCTGTGAGGACATTTATTAGGAGGTGACCTCCGCAAAAAAATGCAGAAACGACTGTCGTATTAAAATAATTAATTAATGTTAAATTTAGGATGCACTAGTCCAGCTGTTTCAGTTTATATCAAGACTGCCCAAACATTTTCATCAAAATAAAAATCTATCAGAGGGCTGCGGCCAAATGCAATAATATAATTCATGAAATACAAATACCTCCTCTAC